AATGAAGAGATAATGTTGATGGATTGATATTTGTGGAATGAGTTAACATTACAGTTCTAAAGTTGTGTAACTTCTTAAGCAACTACTAGAGTGCTTAATATGAGAAAAATATTTAGAGCTTGTTGAGGAAGAAAGAAGTCTTTAAAAATATGCTCAGTGTTAGGATACCTGCTTAGCATGCACAAAGACCTGGGTTCAATCTGCAGCCCCCCCAAAATGAATTTTTTATTTCCAAAGTACCCCATGTGCCAATAAAGAATTGTCAAATGATCACAGAAAAATGAACATGTAAATCTGTCAAATTTTTAATGATAGTTTTTAATTACTGGTAGAATTGTCCCAACTTAAATTTTCTTAAGCTTTTCTGAATTATCTAAATTCTCTACTGCAATATTTGTCAAAGTTAACACTATTGGCATTTGAGGCCAGATAATTTTGTATTATTGGAGACTTTCCTGTGCATTGAAGGTGTAAAGCAGCATCCCTGATCCACAACCAGATGCAAATAGCACTGCACTGTCCCCAACTGTCATTCTGCAGACACTTCTAAATATTCCAAGGGGCAAAATGCCCCCCCCATTGAGAACAACAGCACTATAGTGGATGAAATTTAAATGTATATGAAAAGGTAAATGTAAAATAGATACATGTAAGTATAGATCAGTAGAAAATAGGGTACATGGTGTGTGTGTGTGTGTGTGTGTGTGTGTTGTACAATATTATAACCACTTTCCCATAGCATTAAAAGTTTTTCAAAAAACATCCTGTAAAAGTTACATAAATTTGGGCTGGGGTTGTAGCTTAGTGGTGGAATGCTTGCCTTGCATGTGTGAGGCACTGGGTTCGATACTCAGCACCACATATAGAGAAATAAATAAAGGTCCATCAACAACTAATAAAATATTTTTTAAAAAGTTACATAAATTTGTTCTGTAGGCATCTGATATACTATTGGAAATTGAGGTTGTTTCAGATTTTTTTTAAAAAAAGAAATGGCATTCTACACATCTTTTGTCCATGTTTAATCAGATAATTTGAGTGGGTTTCGTTGTTTTTGAATGTTGTTGTTCGAGTTCCTTGTAGATACTGGTTGTTAATTCCTTGTTGGATGAAGTTTGCAAATATTTTCTCTCATTCTGCAGTTTGTCTCTTCATTCTCTTGGTTTTTCCCTTTGTTGTGGAGAAAAGCTTTTGAGTTTGATACAACCCCACTGGTCTATTTTTGCTTCCATTTTCCATGCTTTTGGGGTCATTCCCCAAAATATATCTGCCCAGATCAACATTGCAAAGCATTTCCACTATGCTTTCTTCTAGTACTTTCAAACTTTCTAGCCTTGCATTTCAGTCTTAAATCCATTTTAGTTGATTTTCAATATGGCAAAAAGGTTGAGTGTCATTGTTATGCATACGGGTATTCATCATTCCCAGGACCATTTGGTGAAGAAACTGTCCTTTCCCCAATATGTGTTTTTGGCACCTTTGTTGAAAATCAGTTTGCTATAAATACCTGGATTTTTTTTCTGGCTCCTCCGCTGTTTTCCATTGGTTTATAGGTCTGTTTTTTTTATGTCAGTATCTATGCTATTTTGGTTAATGTAGCTTTGTAGTGTATTTTGACTTCAGGTTAAATGATACCTCTAGCTTTGGTCTTTTGCTCAGGATTTCTTTGGCTATTTATAGGGTAGTTTTGTGTTTGGAAGTTGTTTTTTTTTGTTATTGTTTCAGAGGAATTTTAGGATTTTTTTCTATTTTGTGAATATTGCCATTGATATTTTGATAGGGATTGAACATTTATCAAAAGAAAACATAAAAATGGCTAAAAGTTCTATGAAAAATGTCCAGTATCACTAATCATCAGTGAAATGCAAATGAAAAGTATGATAAGATATCATCTCACTTCAGTTAGAATGACCATCATCAAAAAGACAAAAGAAAATACTGGTGAGGATGCAGAGAAAAGGAAACATTATACACATTTGGTGGGAATGTAAATTAGTACAGCCATTATGGAAAACATAATAGAGATTCCCCCCCCAAAATTAGAAATAACCATTTGATCTAGCAATACTACTACAGAGTCTAGAGACCGGGTCTCACTGAGTTGCTTGGTGCCTTGCTTCTTCCGAAGCTGGCTTTCAGCCTCAGCCTCCCGAGCCTGGGATTACAATCATGTGTCGCCATTCTGGGCAAGAATTTTTTTTAATGTATCTTTATATCATTAAATTTTCATCTGGGAAGGTGCTACAAATTTATAATCCCATCCAATAATATAAGAGAGCCTATTTTCTTAAAAAAGCTTAAAACCTAATTAAACCTCTTTAAGTTTGTCTTATTTTCATGTAAGGTAATTATTTTTAAAATGCAAGTAGGTATTTATTTAGTACAAGAATGATATAGGCTCATTGGAAAAATTCAGAAGATAATATATGAGAGAATAAAAAAATCACTCTTCCCACTTCTTTTCTATAAGCACATATATACATAAATACTTTAAATGGAAGTCAGAAAATGATAAAGAACAGGATATTGAAGACACAAATGGAATTAAAGAGAGGAAGTTTCTTTAGAATAAACTTTTAGATCTTAGAGATCTCATAGGTGGAAGAATATACAGGAGAGTCATTTTAGTTATTATTAAGTCAGAATAATGGCTAAGGTCCACAGAAATTCTAAAAAAAAAGGAAGAAAAGTATTAGATCATAAAATGAAATGACTCCCTAGAGGAAAACTGGATTCATGAAACTAGTGAAAGTTAACTTATAGAGCTATGAGAATAGCTGTGAGATGAATTGGGGCTTATACCTTTAAATGACTAGGATGCCTATACAGGATTATAGGTGTCAACGTGGTCATAAGAGAATATGGATTCACATTATCTCCTTGATCTTCTCCACCTGGCAAGTTTTCCCTCTTTGATTGTCACAACCATCCACCAAAGTGCAGGAGCCATCACTTACTGCTGTCCTTCCCCCATAACCTTAAAACCAATCAAGTCCCCAGCTCCGGTCCCAGTCATTGTGTAGCATACACAAGCCATCACCATTATGTACTGTTTGAATTCTATCTCTACAAAATGATATGAAATAAAGTGAACATTGTTCTATGACACTAAATTATGGAATGGTACATGAACAGAACACATTCTATTTATTTACTGTTCATTTAATTCCATCTTGTATTTCATCAGTACTTCATTTTCCATCTTCCATTATTATTTAATTCCTAGTTCATCCTTCATAAATTTGGATTCTATATTTCATTCCAAATTTCATTCTATTCTTTTCTGATATTTTAAGATCTACAGGACATATTTCACAGGCATTGATTTCAGGCAATTGCACATTCTGTTCCATTTTATATTCCTTCCTATTTTGATTATTTTCTATTTTCTTTCATATTTTATTTAACACTATACTGTTTCATCCCCTTTCTCATATAACACATTTTATTTCGTGACATTTTATTTCCATTTTATTTCATTCCATTTTCTCATTCTATCATATTCTATTCTATGTCCAGTCTCTTCAATTTTCTATTCCACATCCTGTTCAAGTCTGTATTCCAGTCCCAGTTTCACTCCAGTCTCCAGTTCATCCCCTGCTGCATTCCATTTCAAATCCATTTTCCATTCCACATTAACACTCCACATATCATTCCATTCTATTTTTGAGTTGTGTTGAAGTCCAGTTGCTCTTCATTCTCATAAATATCCTGTTCTATCCTGCTAAAATTGTTATAACAGCAACTTTCAGAACAGTTTGCCAGTATTTTTATCAAAGAATTACAAGTGTGCATAGACTGTACCATGAATTTCTTTTTCTGGGACTTTGCAACAAGGACAAAACTGAGGATAAGAATAGTTTTTAGTGAGAAGGATGTGGCTCACATTGATGTAAAAATTTGGGAAACATAAATGTTGGTTGACACAGGAGTATTTGAAAATATCAGCTTCCTCCTCAATAGGTATATTTTTTAGTTAAAATGGCCTTGTGGAAATTTATTCAGTGATATGGGAGACTGTTTTCTGGACCCCCAAAACAGGTTAATAAAACAACTTGTAATCATAAATAGTTCAATTTTCATAAAACAAAACTATGAAACGTGCGAGTGGCCATTTTACCGAGATATAAAGAAGTATGTCCAGTATTTGCCTGAGGGCGTTTTGAGAATTTCAGTGGTGTTTTTCTCATATTTGTTTTTCTGTTTTGGGCACTTAAAGAAGCCGACCTTTTGAAATAGTGACTAAGAATGAGGGTCCAAATATGAAACTTCAAGTCTGTACATCACAGGAAATTTAAAAGAAACTAGAGTCTAGTCCAAATAAATGAACGTGCATTTGTGCATTTATCAGTGGATTCCTATGCAGCCCTTAAAAATGCTGATGAATGTTAAGAAAGGTATCAGCCTTAATCCTAGGAAACCTTGGCCTCAGGGCAAAAGGTAGGGAGAAGCAGTTTAAAGGAACACTCTAAATCTCTGTCTGCTGTTTTGAGGTAGGCAGAACAGCTCAAGCCAAGACACTGTGGACCCCATCTCTTTTCTTGCCTTCAGGCCTCTCACCAAACTTAAAATACACCAGATCCAGTCTGGGATTATCCAGATGCCTGAAGGGGTTCTTGAACAATCCTCTATGGGGTCCCACCCTAGCTTGGGGATACAGCCTGTCAGCCAGCTTGGTATCTTTCAAGAGTTTGATTTTTTGAGGTTGTGAGAGGGGAGTGGTACTAACAAGATGATTTGTGGTACCTCAAATGGTTCACACAGATAGACTCCACACCCCAAACCCTTTCCCTGAACCATACTATATTAGGGGCCAGGTTTGAGACTAAAGAAATTCACACTATTGACCCCAGAGGACAAAATGGGTGGTGGTGGGGGAAGCACAAAAATCCAAAGGCGGGAAACGCCTCCTATAGCTCTAAGGCTGAAGGGAGGGGTGCATACACCCTCCTGGCTGGCGCCAGAAAGGTCTACGTTGGGCTGCTAGGCTACGGCTACAGAATGGTGGGAAGCATCACGTGATATCCAGCTCACCAATCAGAGGTGAAGATCAGTTGGCCCCACCCATCCTTCTTTACCAGCTCTGACTGGACCCAGCCGGCGGCATTACTTGCCACCGGAGTTTTGTCTCAGAGCCTTCACTTGGGTCAGAGCTGGAATCCTATAGCATGGCTACTCAGGCACCTCGAGGGAAGCAGCAGAAGCCCCAGCAGGGTGAGGTACCCAGAGGGCAGAAGAATGAGGCCACCCTAGCCCCTGGCCATGTCTTTGGGAGGGTATATCAAGATCCTGTTGCCTTGGTCCCCACAGCCTCAAGCCATGAGGCTGTGTTTGGAGACACTGATCAAAGCAGCACAGCAGGTTCTGCTACCTCTGCCGTCGTTTCCACTGCCTGTGAAGACCCTGTGCTGCCCTCCGTGGACAGTATGTCAGCAAAACGCCGTGTTGACCTCCAGGACAGCCGTGGTTCCCAGGCAAGCCTGAGACATGAGGAACCTGAGACCAGTGGCCAGGAGCAACCCCAGGCCCAGAAAAAGAGCCCTGAGAACAAACGTCGTAAGAAGCAGCCCAGCCAGCCCAGCCGAGATCAGGCTGAAAAGCCTACAGGGAGCCACCTGCTTCCTGGGGCTTCTGCGCAGGCGTCTGTGCCTCCGCCGCCATCTTCTCAGCCCGGCCGCCGCCGTCGTTCTCAAGCCTCCACATGGAATCATGCAACCGGTCCAGGACCTGCTCTCCGCAGCCAAGCCCTCAGGGCAGACTCTGCCCTCTGCAGTGGCACCACTGTTCCAGGCCATGGCCCCCAAAGCCATGCATCTACACCAGGTCCTGCTCACCACAGTCGTGCCACACCACCAGGCCCTGTTCTGCGTAGCAGTGCATCCAGGCCTAGGCCTGCTCTTCGACGCCGTGCCAGCCCACCAGGCCCAGTTCTTCGCAGTGGTGCATCCAGGCCCAGCCCTGATCATCGCCATGCATCTGCACCAGGCCCTGGTCTCCGCCGTCGCTCCAGTGCACCAGGTCCTGTTCTTCGCAGTGGTTCATCCAGGCCCCGCCCTGTTCCCCAGAATGGAGCCTCTCAACGTGGGTCTGATCTCCGTGGGTCTGATCTCCGCAGCCATGTCACTCGGCCAGGTCCTGCTCTTCGACGTCCAGTATCTGCATCAGCCACTAATCCCAGGAGCCGTGCCACCCGACCAGGTGCTGATCTTCGCAGTGGCAGCACTTCATCAGTTCCTGTTCGCACCAGTGCATCCCGGCCAAACACCACCCTCAGAAGACCTGCAACAAAGTCCGGCCCTACTCCTAGCAGCACGACCTCAACCATAGGCCTTGGTCCCCGGAGGAGACGCCCCACCCTGCAGAGGTCATCTGGAAGGTCGGCCATTCCCAGTCGAGGCGCTCTGCCTAACCCAGGTGGCAGGAGACCTCCTCCTTCCTCTAGGGCACCCTTACAGCATGTCTTTCAGAGTAGCTCAAGTTCTTCTGAACGTGAGGTTGGAAGCCCGGTTGGAAGCCCGCCTTCTCCGTTTGTCTGGCATGCAGTCCGTATGCGTGCTTCCTCTCCTTCACCCCCTGGTAGGTTCTTTCCTTTGCATAGGCAGCGCAGTGAGAGCATCTCTACCTCCACCTCGCCCTCCTCGCCCTCCTCCTCCTCCTCATCCTCCTCATCCTCCTCCTCGTCCTCCTCATCCTCCTTGTCCTCTTCCCCTTCTTCCTCCCCAATTAGATCTCCTGGCTTAAGCCCCTCTTCATCTCCCACCAAGTTTCCTGGCCAGGATTCCTCATCCTCTTCTCCTCCGTGCTATGGCTTGGATTCTATCTCTACTCCTAGCCCTTCCAGCCTTAGGCGTGCCTTGCTGCCTGAGCTGGATGCCCCGAGCTCAGAAATTCCTGGGGAACAGGGAGGAGAACAGGTGTAGGGGGATCATCTCATGCCCCTACACCATTTGTGCTGTGACCTCTTCTGTGAGTGTCCTCCAAGACCCACAGAAGGAATCAGCATCCAACAGCGCATGGATAGATTATTCTATGCATACCTGTATACCTGTGAGATTTTCCAAGAATTCTAGCTATTAATCAATATCCTGAGCAATTTTGAAGCATCCTCTCCCCATGACCCTGATGCTCAGCAATTACCTGCCCTTTGCCCTTGATTTCAAGCCCCATTCTTCCTCAAAAGGGCCTGCCTTTGCCCCTGAGTTGACAATTGTTTTCCCTAAGTAGCTTTTTATGTAATGAAGTACCTTAATAAAGCTGTTGGTTTCACCTTAAAAATGTAGAGTTTTTTTTATTGTCGTCCTCAATCCTGGTTTAAAGAAAGTTATTAGCATGCTAGCTGTCTATTTGGATGCAAGAAAGAATAAAATATGCTTTAGCAATCATTTTTTTTTTTGCCACTGCCAGAAATGGAGTTCTGCCGGGTAAGTTCCTCCTGAAGGCACTGTATACTTTCTTAATATAGGTGATTTGCAACTTGAGTAAGAAAAGGGGCACAATTTAACATGAGGCAGCTGAGTGCAAGGAGAGATGACAAAAGATTTCCAGGATCAGAAAAGAGGAAGGGCATGAATAATGGGGGCGGGGGAGTGTTGGGGACATGACCCAGATGAGAGTAGAGGTATGGGAGTGGGGGCAGGAACCTGGAGGCTGAGGGCAGAAGAGCTCTTCTATTTTCTACTGGAGGTAAATGTTTATTTGCTGAGAAGGGTCTCTGGAGGTCTGGGGTTGGGGAATTTGAGGTTAATAACTCATGGGAAAATGGTTAGATATTTAACAAAAATACGCATTGATGGATAATCTTGTTGTAAAAGGGGTTGTTACTGAGTTTGTGAGCAAGTATATAATGTTAAGAGTGTGTGTGTGTGTGTGTGTGTGTGTGTGTGTGTGTGTGAGAGAGAGAGAGAGAGAGCGAGCATGCGTGTGGATTTTGGAGAGATGTTTGAACATACTACATGCTGGTCTTTGGAATAACTCTTGATATGATCTTAACTTTTATATTCTACATTCTTTACTTTGACCATGTAACTACCTCTATATGAAATTCAGCTGCTTTAAAAAATAGAAATCTTTGGAAACATGGTACTTTCTGGTGCCATGGCACACACCTGTAATCCCATAGCTCAGAATGCAGAGGCAAGTGGATGGAAAGTTGAAAGCCAGCCTCAGAAACTTAATGAGATCTTGTCTCAAAATTTAAAAAGGAGGGAGGGTGTCTGGGAATGTTGCCCAGTGGTTATTCACCCTTAGGTTCAATCCCTAGTGCTCTGTGTGTGTGTGTGTGTGTGTGTGTGTGTGTGTAATCTCTTTTCTCATTTCCCTCCTCTGCTTTTCTGGTGTGTGTCCAGTAGAAGCCTAGTCCTAGGCCTTACATTTTGGAAGGAAATCCTTAGGTTCTGCTCCTGCTGCATGCACATCAGAGAGCTACTTGTCCACAGGGACAAGGAGATGTTCCCACCAGGTCTCAAAACCCTGACAGTTATGTAAAATTTTCAGATACACTTATTCCTCAAAGCTGCATCCAGGACCTGTGATTCTTTTTTCATTTTTTTTTTAAGAGAGAGACAGGGTCTCACTGAATTGCTTAGTGTCTTGCAATTGCAGAGGCTGTCTTTGAACTCACAATCCTCCTGTTTCAGCCTTCCAAGCTGCTGGGATTACAGGCATGTGGCTGCTTGCCCGGCTGTACACACATTCTTAAACTTCATCTTGCTTGCAACATTTGGCACAGTTGTTAACTCCTCACTCCTTGATAAATGATTTTCCTTAGTCTTTGGAGACTGCTTTCTTTGTGTTCACCCTGCATTCTCCTGTACTTTTTTTTTCACTTTTCATAATTTTGAGTGCTGAAATACCCAGGCCTCAGTATTTGGATTTTTTCCTTATATAAATTTACTTCCTAGGAAATTTCATCTAGTTTCACATTTTTAAATGTTTTGGGGGGAGTTGGGGGATACCAGAGATTGAACCCAAGGGTGCTTAACCACTGAACCACATTCCCAGCCTTCTTTTACTTTTTATTTTGAGACAACGTCTCACTAAGTTGCTGAGGCTGGCCTTGAACTTGTGGTCCTCTTGCCTCAGCTAACTGAGTTTCTGGAATTACTGGTGTGCCCCACTTTAAAATGGTTAATCTAAATATTGGACATCCACTTACATCTATTCCCTTCTACTCCTGCTGCCTGATTGACTTGTCCACATATCCACTTATCAGTAATACGAAATGCTATCTTATGGAAATATAAGGCTGCCAACACATACAATTTACAATTTTCAAATAGCCAAAATTTAAAATATAAAAAAACTAGTCAGGTATGGTGGTGCATGTTTGTGATCCTGGGAGGAGGATGACAAACTTGAGGCCAGATTCAGCAACTTGGTGAGAGCCTGTCTCAAAATTAAAAAAATTAAAAACAAAGGATTGGGGAAGTAGCTCAGCAGGAAAGCACCTCTGGGTTCAATCCCCAGTACTAAAAATAAGTAAGTAGTCAAGTAAATGAATAATGAAGAAACATGTTATATTAATTTTAATCATTTATTTAACTTATCCAAAATATTAGTTTAGTATGTGATCTCTATAGAACTTAATGAGATATTTTATAGTTTTTCCTACTAAGTCTTCAAAATTTGGCATATTTTACAACACATTTTAATTCTGATTGATCACATTTCAAGTGCTTGATACTCACATAAGTAGACAGTATAGAATGAGACATTCTCATTTCCTTAGTCTCTCACTTATTTCCCATTGAATTGTGAATCTGCCTCCAGCATGTTTTCATAATTGCAGGCTTCTCTCACAATAGTGTCCCGAGGTATTTACCCAGGGTTATAGTGTTCCAATGCCTCTTGAGCTGGGTCCTTTGAACTCACTTGGAATTGAAAAGGGATGAAACCCTCCCAGTTTCACTGCTTTTTCCAATGAGTTAGGTTGTTTGCAGTTCTTATGTTATCCAGTTAACCAGACACTGTGCTAGTATAGTCATCCCTTGGTATCTGAAGGGGATTGATTCCAGGAACGCACAGAGATATCAAATCTGTGGATGCTAAACTCCTTTATGGAAAACTGGATAGTAGTGGGGTGCAATAGTTTGAGCCTCTAATCCTAGCTCCTTGGGGGGTGCTGAGGCAGAAGGTTGGCTTGAGCCCAGGAATTCAGGACAAGCCTATGCAAAGAAAGAGACCCCTTCACCAAAAAAGGGAGCAGTGTTTGCATATAACCTAAACATGCCCTCTCATACACTTTAGATCCTCTCTAGTTTACTATAATACCTAATTCAATATAAATGCTTTGAAAATAGGTGTCATACTATATTGTTAGAGAATAATGATAAGAAATAGTCCCTATCTGTACAGATACAGGGCTTTTTCTCAGTCATTTTTGGCGGGAGTGAACGTAGGGCCTCATGCATGGTAGGTAAGTGCTCTACCACTGAGCCACATTCCCAGCCCTTTCCTAATTGTTTTTGATTTGCAGTTGGTTGAATTTGCAGGTGCAGAGCCTATGGATGAGGAGGGTTGACTGTACTTCTTTTTCCTTCTACACAGGTACTCATATCATGTAGGTAATGTGACTGTTGGTGGTTTGTCCTTATCTACTTGAATTTGGAAGTTTTGGGTGATACCTTGTTAAACTAGCTTTGATGAAAACATTAACCATGAATTTTGCTTCTGTGCTTTACTGCTCCGTTTATATGTGGGTGTTTGGAGATACTTAAAAACTGTATAGTCACCACTGTCACCATCTTCCCAGAATCTACTACTAAATGCCCTTACTTCTTGGAAAATATGCCACCTCCTCAGGTGTTTCCCCAATATCTGATGATAACACTATGTATATAATCAGGCCTTTCATAACTCAGGAAAGTACAAAATAGGATCTGTAATATGTAGTAATGGAGTCAAATTAAAAAAAATCAAATTCAGGAATGAAAATGAAATATTGGGTGTGCTACTAAAAATCTTTGGAACTGAAGAAAATTTTGAGAATACATATTTTAACAATTCTTGCTGTTGTAGTTCTTTTGCTTGAATAATTCTACAAATAGTCAATGGCAAATATAATAAGTATATTATTTTTTGCTGCAGTGTTATAAATTGGACCCAGGATCTCACAAATGCTAGGCAAGTGCTTTACCACTGAGCTATCACTTTGTGCAATTTTAATGCAAGTTTCACAACTTCCCAGTGTTGGAAGGCCTTCATTTATTCCCAACATTTTACAGATGTTGAAAGTGAAAAGCCAATCTCAGCAAATTAGTTAGGCCCTAAGCAACTCAGCAAGACCCTGTATCTAAATAAAATATTAAAAAGGGGTGGGTATGTGGCTCAGTGGTTAAGCATCCCTAGGTTCAATCTCCAGTAACAAAGATAAATAAATAAATAAATAAATAAAAACAAAAACCCAAAACAATTTTGTGCTTTCCAAAATCTCATAGGTATTAGCTCTAGAATCAGAATTCTTGGGTTTGAATTCGGTTTTCCTCACTGCTTCACTGTCTCTTCCTTGTTGAGTTAATTAACCTGAGATCCTGTGTTTCCTCATTTGTCAGTTGGGCACAGCAGTAGTGCATGCTCCTAAATTGTTGTAGGGATTAAAATGAATGGTGCTTGTTAAGGGCTTCCAACAGTGTCTGGCATATAATCAGTGCCTGTTTCATTTTGATTACAATTATGATCAGGGTTATGATCACATACCAGATAGTCCTGCTTGCAGCAGCAAGACTATTAACATTTTTCTGATCTTTCCCAAGCAAAATACTTTAAAATCAAACTGGTTATTTCAAAAGTGGAAAAAAAATCTTTATTGTACTTTAAAATTGGAAGACATTTACACAGGTTGTTGAGCAACATTTTTGCAATACCAGAGGCCACTGAACAAAAATGTAAAAAATAGAGTCTCTAAAGTTAAAAATTCTAGGAAATTAACAAATTTGGACTTGAAGTAGCTATGTGAATGCTTTTAGAAGTAGTAATTTCCCTCCAGGCATTATTTACACCTTAATTCTTTTAAAATATTCATTTTAGTGGATGAATGCAATATACCTGGGATTATCATTATTGACTGTAAATTGCCTTTAAACATTGCAAAGCATGGAAATCTACATTAAAAAATCATGTTATACTTATGTGCATTAAGTATTATTTTAATGTTTATGCATACACTAAACTTATTTAATATGGAAAAATAACCTTAGGAAGTTGGTGTTCATATTAAACCCACTT